AGTCCCGAAGGGGGGGCAGGAGTGCGGAGGATCCAAACAGCAAACGAACGGGCGAGGAGATAAGCCGCCTCTCCCCACTCCGTCCACATCAGGCTTCAGAGGTGTTACTCAGGTTCCCAGTGGAGTTAAGACTCAATTGAAGCCTAGGTTAGCACCCCCAAACCAGCCAAACAAGTGGGACCTCATGAGCCATGCATCTGGTGTGCTAGCTGGTCAAGCTCCGCCCTCAAATTAAATCTTGTATATAAAAATTATTCTCTTTTTCTGAGCTCATAATTTTGTAATGGCTCATAATTTGAAATCCTTAGACATAAATTGGCTAACAATATGCAATCAAATTTCTTACCAAAATAAGACTGAGCGTAGTTTTTACCTAGAGAGAAACAGTAAAAAAAATTAAAGCTTGGTGGCTTCCATGGAAGAACTATCTAGACCTGTTGAACTCTGACTAAAAACTAAAAAACTAAAACATTAAGCAGCACTGGATGGTACCTGCATTGACACACAATTTATCTGATTTACTTGTACACTATAAGAAAAAGAGGGTACAAGAAAACAGTAAAAGGGGAAAAGAAAAAAAGAAAAGCAGGATATCCAGAGGTCTACTGTCTCTCAATGGTCCCCGTCTTCTCTATGTATGAATGGTATAAATGTATGTGATTATAACTGTTCTTGCTGTAACTGTACATTATGCAATTTTATACATTTTTAACTTCAATTACTTATTTTCAGTTTGTCTGACTTAAAGTGAAACTATAGGCTAGAATTGCAAAATTGTATTCCTAGCCCAGTGGTAGGCAACCTTTGGCACTCCAAGTGTTGTGGACTACCCCTCCCATGACACTTTGTTAGCATTGTGGTTGTAAGAGCATTATGGGAGAAGTAGTCCACAGCATCTGGAGTGCCAAAGGTTGCCTACCTCTGTGACCTAGTCAGCGCAGAAAAGGCACTTTGTCACTTGCTTAAATCCAGCGCAGACATGCCTCAGTGCGGGTCAGGCTGCACCTTTGCTCTGCCTTCACTGACGTTTGGGACCTAATGCTCATGCGCTGCATATAGACCAATCCACCTTGTGGGACACGTAACTGACGAGACACGGCAAATATATGTGTGTGACTATAGGAAGCAAGACAAGTGTGTCACTAAGTACCTGCTAGCTGAGATTATGGGGAGATATATCAAGGTAAAACAGGTTCTACACATTGAGAGACTTTCTATTGGTTTCCACAGTGATTGGCCCTATTTAGCTCTTTGCCCCAAAGCAGCCCCTGGTTTTTGTTTTTTTTACTGATAAATGTCTGCCCATATGTTAGTAGTTTAATTTATGATCATTCTCAGATGCTGGCATCCTGCCCGAAACGTTTTTTTATCATTCTTTTTAATTTCTGTATCTTTATTTTTCTTAACAAAATATTTAGTTCTGCCTATCTGTACATGTACTAACACATGTATTTCTTCTTCGAACTATGCAAAAAAAACCCCAATGAAATACAAAAAATAAATGCGGTACTTCATTGTAGTTAGTAGGCAAACATTCTGGGCCCTTCTTCAAATTAAACTATTTGGAAGCACCCTTGTACATTCATCAATAATTTCATGTTTCCCAGGTAAACTCAACAAGGGCTTATATTACTTAATTCTGGAACATGTAAAAATTCTGGACGTGACAGCTAGAGATCCATTTGTCTATGGTGAAATAAACTACTAATCCCTGTAATCTTACAAAGGTTATGAGAATAGAGGTTAGCACCCATATGTGATCATGTATGTGTGGGTTAGCACCCACATGTGATAACTTATAATGGTGAAGTAAGTAAATTTACTATAACAATAAGCACACCCTTATTTTCTATTTTTCAATCTGTGGTATGTAGGATTGAGATTGACTGGTATCCATTTAGAATTATAAATGTGTTCCTTTGAACCATTCACATACAGTCATGGTAAAAACAAAAGTACAAACCATTTGAATTCTATGGCTTTAGATATCACAATAACCTGTTCCTTAGCAGGTCTTAAAATTAGGTAAATGCTAAACCTCAGATGAGCAACAACACATGACATATTATATAATGCCATGATTTTATCTTGTTGTTATTCTGAGGTTGTATTTACCTAATTTTACATCCTGCTAACTTCTATGCATTCACTATATTCTATATATTATATTAAGACATATTTATCCATGTCCACCCTTTATTTATGTGTAAATATATACACTATGCCCTATATTGGAGGGTCACTATGGAGCATTAATGAATGCTATATTTTCCCCATATTGCTATGTGAACCACACGCTTCACGTTCATAAGACGCTTGTATTAAATCTCCATAGCGACAAAGGTATGGTTACGATCTACATGTCATCACGGCATACAACGGGGTCTGCACACGGATGTGCATAGGGCACTCCTGGCCGCCGACGGCCATACCGCTCACACGGCGGGATAAGGTAATCTATGCTCATTATGCTTATTATTGTCAATTCCTGTTATTAAGCTATTTGTATCAATTTATCAGCCTATGAATAGACTTTGGTTTTATGTTGTCATTACGACCCTGATGAAAGTCCCAAGCAAGGACTGAAACGTTGGTCTTGCTTTTTTAATGATTCTTAAATGAAGATTTTGGAATGTTAAAAGTCTGTGAGTGCCAGTCTTAATTTGGATACCTACATCTACAATAGCCTTGGCTTTGCAGCACCCAGCATCTTTATGGATTAAGTCTGAGTGCAGGGATTACTTGGGATTTGCTGCTAACTTCTATGATATGTAAAATCTAAGAATTCAACAAGGGTGTACTTTCTTGTTTCCATGACTGTATCTCTGAATCATTTTGTACTTTTTTTTTACAGCACTTTCTTAATTTCTCATTATAAAAGGAATATTAAGCATTAGGAATATTATTATTATTATTAGTTATAAAGTGCCAAGATGTTCTGGAGTGCTGTACAATAGGTGGACTAACAGACAAGTATTTGTAACCAGACGAGTTGGACACGCAGGACAGAGGGATTGAGGGCCCTGCTCAATGAGTTTACATGCTAGAGGGAGTGGGGTAATGTGACACAAAGGGTAAGGGTAGGGTAGAAAAGAAGGTTGCTAGGATAGTGTTCATTGAGGGCTTAGTGTTTTGTTTTGATGACAGTTTCAGGAGAAGAATCAGGGTCCGGGGAGGGAAAGCTGTTCACAGTTTAATTGATATGCTTTCCTAAAGAAGTAAGTTTTCGTAATTTTTTGAAGGAGTGGAGATTGGGTGAAAGTCTAACAGAGAGGGGAAGGGCGTTCCATAGGAACAGTGCAGCCCTAGAAAAGTCTTTAAGGTGAGCATCAGAGGTAGGAGTACGTACAGTGGTTAGACATAGGTCCCCGGCAGAGCGTAGGGGCCTAGACTGGACATATTTGTGTATTAATGAGGATAAGTAGGTTCAGGGCCGGACTGGGAGAAAAATTCGGCCCGGGCATTTTTTTAACACAGCGGCCCACTAAAAAGGGGGCGGGGCAGAGGAGGTGTGTTTTGTCATCACCAATGACAAACACGCCTCCTCTCAAAGTGAGCATGTTGGTTCAATGCTCTTCCAGGGCAGACCATGCGCAGAGCTCTGCTGAAGAGCTCTAGCATGAGAAAAAAGTCCTGTATTTGTTCTGCACAGTGCAAGCAAATTTAATAACATGCTTGCACTGTGTTTCCTTGCAACTTGTCTCTGGTGTCTCTATAAATGGATACCAGGAGACAAAAGGCCAGGAAAGAGTATTGTGCATGTGTTTGGAGCCTGCTTGTGGTATTGCGTGTGTGTAGAGTGAGCTGGTCGTGGTGTGGTATTGTGTAATAAGGTCGGTTTTAGTCGTGTTGTGTTTGTGGTGTAATGTGATGCATATGTGGCTCAGGAACCCCCTCCCGCCCGGCTCTGGAAAGGGGTTAAAACTTACCTTTTTCCAGCGCCGGGCGGGGAGCTCTCCTCCTCCGATCCGCCCCGTCGGCTGAATGCGCACGCGCGGCAAGAGCTGCGCGCGCATTCAGCCGGTCGCATAGGAAAGCATTTATAATGCTTTCCTATGGACGCTTGCGTGCTCTCACTGTGATTTTCACAGTGAAAAGCACGCAAGCGCCTCTAGCGGCTGTCAATGAGACAGCTGCTAGAGGCTTTGGGGGAAGGCTTAACCCATTGATAAACATAGCAGTTTCTCTGAAACTGCTATGTTTATAAAACAATGGGTTAACCCTAGAAGGACCTGGCACCAAGACCACTTCATTAAGCTGAAGTGGTCTGGGTGGCTAGAGTGGTCCTTTAAGAGTGTAGTGTGTGTGTGTATGTATATGTATATATATATATATATATATATATATATATTTGGAAGTATTGTGTATGTGTGTGGTGCAGTGTGTTGGGGGGGTTCTGTGTGTATGTGAGGGGTGCAGTATGTGTGTGTGTGAGGGTGCGGTGTATGTGTGTGTGTGAGGGTGCGGTGTATGTGTGTGTGTGAGGGTGCGGTGTGTGTGATGTGTGTGAGAGTGCCGTGTGTGTGTGATGTGTGTGAGAGTGCCGTGTGTGAGTGATGGGTGTGAGAGTGCCGTGTGTGAGTGATGGGTGTGAGAGAGTGCTCTGTGAGAGTGCTGTGAGAGAGTGCTGTGTGTGTGTGAAAGTGCTGTGTGTGATGGGTGTGAGAGTGCTGTGTGTGTGTGAGTGCTCTGTGAGAGTGCGCTGTGTGTGATGGTGTGAGAGTGCTGGGTGTGAGAGTGCTGTGTGTGATGGGTAAGAGAGTGCTGGGTGTGAGTGAGTGGTGTGTGAGTGCTGTGTGTGATAGTGCTGTGTGTGATGGGTGTGAGAGTGCTGTGTGAGAGAGTGCTGTGTGTGATGGGTGTGAGAGTGCTGTGTGAGAGAGTGCTGTGTGTAATGTGTGTGAGAGTGCTGTGTGTGATGGGTGAGAGTGCTGTGTGTGATGGGTGAGAGTGCTGTGTGTGAGAGTGCTGTGTGTAATGTGTGTGAGAGTGCTGTGTGTGAGTGCTGTGTGTGATGGGTGTGAGAGTGCTGTGGGAGAGAGTGCTGTGTGTGATGGGTGTGAGAGTGCTGTGGGAGAGAGTGCTGTGTGTGATGGGTGTGAGAGTGCTGTATAAATGTTATTGTGTGTGTGTGTAGGGGGGGTAAATAAAAAAAAAAAAAAGTCATTATTTCCCCCCCTCCCTTCTTACCTTTAGCCTGGGAGGGGGGGTCCGGCACGCTGGAAGGCGGTGTTCCCTGGTGGTCCTCGTGGGTGAGTGAACTCTAGCCTGTGAGGCTAGAGTTCACTCTCGCGAGATCCGGTCGTTGCCATGGCAACGCGCCGGATCTCGCGAGAGGAACCCGGCGGAGCTGCAAGTTAGAGCTCCGCCGGGTCCTCTCTCCAGCCTGGCTGGCTGTCTGTCTCCCTCCCTCCCTCCCCGCCGGCGGCCGCATGTGGGCCGGTCAGGGAGATCCTTGATCCCCCCACCGGCCCGTCGTGACAAACAGCGGGGCCGGCGCTAGGAGAGTGCCGGCCCTGCATAGACCGGCAGGGGAGATCCTGTGATCTCCCCTGCCGGCCTCGGCCCATGGCCACCGCGGCCCACCGGGCATTTGCCCGGTGTGCCCGATGGCCAGTCCGGGCCTGAGTAGGTTGGAGCAGCATTGTATACAGATTTGTATGCAGGTATCAGGATCTTAAATTGAGTCCTATATCTATATTCTGGGAAGCCAATGTAGGGACTGCCAAAAGGGGAAGGCCTGGGAGGTGCGGCCAGACAGGACGATGAGAATCGCCACCGCATTCATTATAGACTGTAACGGGGCAAGTTGGGAACACGTAAAAACACAGAGAAGTGGATTACAGTAGTCAAGGCGAGAGAGGACAGCGGCATGGACAAGCACCTTTGCTGTATCAAGCGTTAAATAAGGTAGAGCGGATAGTAGTGCCATTGACTTGGAGAGGCATAGACAAGGAAGTAGCAACACTTGAGGGAGGGAAGACCAGAAGTTCTGTTTTCGACAGGTTCAGTTTAATGAAATGAGCAGTCATCCAGTTGGAAATAGCAGAAAGGCATTCAGAGACACGAGTCAAGAGGGGTGGTGAGAAATTAGGGGAGGACAGATACATTTGCGTGTTATCTGCATAGAAATGATACTGGAAGCCAAACGAGCTGATGAGTTTACCAAGGGAGGCAGTGTAGATTGAGAACAATAGGGGACCAAGGAGAGACAATTGGGAACACCAACAGAGAGGGATTGGGGAGAAGAGGCAGAGCCAGAAAAAGACACACTGAATGAGCGCTGGGAGAGGTAGGAAGAGCACCAGGAGAGAGTAGTATCTCATAGACCGAGATTACGGAGGATGAGAAGAAGCTGTTGATGATCAACAGTGTCAAAATCAGCAGAAAGGTCGAGGAAAATTAGGATAGAGTAGTGGCCATGGGATTTTGCAGTGATAAGATCATTGGATACTTTGGTCACAGCTGTTTCAACAGAGTGACGAGCGCGGAATCCAGATTGAAGTGGGTCAAGCAGAGAGTTGGATTCGAGGAAGTCTGTTAATCTCAGTAAAGAGGAAATACATAAATGTCCATAAGAAAAAGTCAAATATATAATACAATAAAATGAATTTTATTAAATCTCTGGAAGGAAAACATATAACATATACCTATTAAAAAGAGTTATAAAGAAATATAGGCTCTTTATTATGACCAAGGAGGGGAAGAGAGAGACTCTAAGATGGACTGGATGGGACGTTGATAAGTGATTATAGGGGTGGAAATACAACACAGTCCACTTACAATAGTGGCATGGTTTTTTTTAGGGCTATATATTGCTTCTAGTCACAGCCACAAGAGGTCAACTGCTCTCAATACAATTAATTGCTTTTATATGTTGCTGTTAAGGATAATATACTGCTTCATTAAACATACTGTACTTGGCACAGTTTACCCACAATAGTGGCATGAATTTGTAGGACTGTATTTTACCTTGTATTATAGCCACACAAAGTTAAACTGTAGCTGTTATATAGATCCCTGTGAGCTCATTTATTTCAACCCCTATAATCACTTATCAACATCCCATCCAGTCCATCTTAGAGTCTCTCTCTCCCCCTTCTTGGTCATAATATAGAGCCTGGGTTTATGTTATATGTTTTCCTTCCAGAGATTTAATAAAATTCATTATATTGTATGTAATATTTGATTTTTTTATAAATTCTTTATTTTTAGAAATTTGTGTCGCGGCGTGGGTACAGAAAGGAAGCGTGAGAAATCATGCAGTCTCAAGTACAACACATAGCATACAGTAGTCTATTCAGTGAGTACATATCAGAGCTAGCTATAAGTCACGTTTCGTTATACATTGGTAGCATCTTCGGGGATTTTCACAGTTATCAGAGATTAACATTGGGGAAGTATATTGGAGTACTCACTGCACCTGCTGCGTGGTGCGTTTTAAAGGTGAAGGGTCTTTGGTGGGGCCTGGGGGGGGTTTATTAGTGTTACTCTTTGGTTTATGGCTTTTCATTGGTCGTTAATGTGGACAGAGGGGGGTACAGAAGAGAGAGAGTGGGGGGGTGGTGTTTGATGGGGTGTGTGCGGAACTCTGTGCTGTTGTAGCCGAGATCCCCGTGCGTTGTGGCATTGCTCATGCTGTTTCTTTCGTATAGGCTGTTGGTGGCCTTCGTCATGTATCTCGGTTAGTCAAGGGTGGGAGCGTGTGTGGGTTTTGCCTGTGCATCAGTGTTAGGTGTCTGTATCATGCTCTCGGGGTGTGTGGTGGAGGGGGAGGGTGTGGTGTTATAGGGTATAGGGTTCTGTTCTCTGGGGTGGGGTTGGGGTTTGTTTGTTGTCGGCTTGCCTTCGTCAGTGTCTGGATTTTGGGTTGTATGGAAAGGTGTGGGGTAGACCCCCGTGGCCCTCGCCATTGGGGGTACCTGGGTGTGCTGTAGGGTTTGCTGTGGGCGTTCCCTTCTCTATTCGGAAAGTATAGGCCTATCCCTTTAGCTCGTGTGTGGTGGATTTTCCCTTTTGTTTGTGCGGATATCTTGCGTCACTTTTGGTCGTTGTGCCATGGGGCTTGCTCTTTGGTGACCCTTTCCTGGATCAGTGGGTTGGGTTTTGCTGGGGGTTTGGCTTGTGTGCCTGATCTGGGATCCTAGTGTTCTCTCTCCTCCTCTTCGCCTCAGGTCTCGGTGGGTTTTCTTGGTTTTGGATGGGGCGTGGTTAGGGGTATTTCAGTTCCCCATGACGTCCCATCGCGCCCCCACATTCCGGTCGGCCGGGCCCACTCACCGGATCAGTAGGGGTAAGGCGGGGGCAGGGGGGGGAAGAAGAAAAGTGAAGAAGGGAGGGGGAAAAAAAAAAGAGGAGGGTGACTGACTTTAAGGGTAGGTGGTGGGGTATATTACCTAATTCTGGAATATGTAAGAAATCTGGACGTGACAGCTAGAGATCCATTTGTCTATGGTGAAATAAACTATTAATCCCTGTAATCTTACAAAGGTTATGAGAATAGAGGTTAGCACCCACGTGTGATCATGTATGTGGGGGGGGGGATTGCGCTGTGCTATGTGTTTTGGTTGCGTCCAATCCGTATTCTCCCCGTGTGCTGTCTTTCTCGTGTGTGTTATGTTAGAGCTGGGGGGGTCAGATGTGTCCTCTGTTGTGAGCGTGGAGGTTTTGCGCATGGGTGTGTGGTTCCCTGGGCTGTGTTCCCTGTGTTAGTTTATGTTAAAAGTTTCTCCGTTCATGGAGTGTTTATGTGTATGTTTAGGCTTGAGTAGTTAGTGTCCCAGAGGTCCCACGTCCTGTGGAAGGCTTTGTATGTGTCGTGTATCTGTGCTGCCAGTTCATCTAGATCTCGTGTCTCTTTGATTTTGCGTATGATTGTGGAGATTGTTGGGATGCATTTGTCAGCCCATAGTTCTGCTATTGCTCTATTGTATGTAATATTTAATACTACATTACTCTATATTCTCCAAGGAACCTTTTTGTGTCCATTTGACTTCTTTTTATGGATATTTATGTATTTCCTATTTACTGTTAAACTTAGGGTTATCCCCTGTCTAGGTTCACTTGTACACACCAATAGTCCCTGTGTGGGACACTTTGTTTTTTCTAGTCTGTCAATCTCGCATACATAACTCTCTCAAGGATCTTGGAGACAAACGACAGTAGCAAGATAGGGCGGTAGTTTGAAGGTGAATTAGGGTCAAGGTTGGGCTTTTTCAGAATCGGGGTTACGGTTGCATCTTTGAAGGGTAGAATAAATGTGCCAGAGAAGAGGTAGAGATAGACAATTTTAGTGAGAGGCAGAGCAAGAGAAGGAGACAAAGAGCGGGTGAGATACAAGGGAATAGGATCAAGGTGGTGGGGTGGGAGGAATGGAGCAGAGCAGAAACCTCTTCTGCTGTAGCGGGTGCAAATGAACATAGGACAGCTGAGGGAGTGTGATTATGGGAAAAGTTGGTAGTGGATGGAGAGAGATGAGAGATGTCTTCCCTGACTGTAGAAATCTTCTCAGTGAAGTGAGTTGCAAAGTTTGTGGCGGCCAAGATGGTAGGAAGAGACACGACAGGACGCAGAAGAGAGTTACAAGCATGAAACAGTTGTTTGGTCTCGTGGGAGAGTGTGGTTATTACTGTATTGAAGCAGTTTTCGTTTGAAGAGGAAAGAGCCAGACTGTAGGAGCGCAGCATACATTTTTTTATTTTTTTTTAAATTCTTTATTTTTGAGTGCAGAGTAAATTACAGGCATAAACAAAGACTTGTTCAACATATCAGATTGTCAGAAACAACTGCATAATTTTTTTTTTTTGTGATAGCAAGTTAGAAACACGAGGAAAACAAGAAATGATATAGTAGTGATATAAAAAAATGTTCAAGCTAGGCACACATAGCTATTTGATTTTCCAAGATTATAGACTGTAGTTTGGCATGACCAGCGCATAGGCTAGTCTGTTGATGACACATATTATACTGGTATCAAACGCTAGCTGTTAAAACATGTTATGTAGTTAAACTGCATATTTACATTTAAGTTAGGTCAATGTATAAGTATGCAATCTAACGATTTAGCGTTGTGAAATCTTGTATGGCTTAAAACATACATAGAGTCCACATGATGTGTACCCCGGCGCGCTCTGTGTGTATTAGAGCCGGTCAGTCCCTGTGGGGTCGGCTGATGCTTGTGCTGAGGGCTGCAGGCTTTGATGTATAAGATTTGTCGTTGGTCTGGATCAGCTTCCCGCGTGGTGACCCCTGGTCGCTTG